GGACATTGTCCTGCCTTCTGCTGTGCCTTTGACCTGCACAGCCTAAGGAGGTTGTGCTGCACTCCTTGGATGTGGTTCGGATATACTTGTCTGCTGCAGTCTCCCTCTGGAGGTTGAATTCTCTTTTTTGTGCTCAAGGATGGCCTAAGAAAAGGCCTGGCGGCCTACTTTGCTACTATTTCCCGATGGATTCGGCAGGCGATTATTCAGGCATGTGCCATTTAGGAGTTGGGTTCCTCCCTTCCCTGTTACAGCACACTCCCCCTGGGTGATTAGTCCACCTGGGCATTCCAACATCAGGTGTCTGTCTTAGGTCTGCACGGTGGCTACCTGGTCATCTGTACATACCTTTATTAAATTCTACATAGTTGATGTGTTTGGATGGTGATTTTGACCCAGGCTGCTGTTTAAGGCTTCTTGTTCTCCTTTCCCCCTTTGGGGCTTAGGTGGGGGGGTTGTCTTGGTGGTTGGCATGTTTGCCTGGTTGCTCCAGGTATTTTCTTTTTGCCCTTCCCCTCGTTGAGGCATTTCTTTGAGACATCCCTGTGATCAAGAATAGAAGAGCTGTATCTGTCAATGAACGTAAGAGACAAAGGGATTTGTTAATCACTGTAAAACCCTTTTCTATTTTTACTTTTCTTTGTGACTAATTTGTTTGCCGATGGCGGAGAGGGTGTTTTATTCCAGCTAGGACCGCCCATAGGTGGGGCTGTGTTCTGCCTAGTGTCCTACTCCTGTAGGTGGGGCTATAAAACGCTATGGTCAAGGCTAAAAGAGCTGTCTGTCAATGAACTTGAAGAAGGGGGTTTTATGGTAACCAAAAAAAAACCTGTTGTGTAGCTAGGTGAAAAATTCTCTTTTTATTTGAAACCATACAAATGTATCAGATGAATCGTTTTTCTGTATTAATATGCAGCTTAACATGCAGTGTCAGTGGGGTGAAGTGGTAGAGGGCTTGATAGTATTCTTAGAATGGAACTTTCTTTGCATCTACTTGGTCTGATCCTTTGACGAGGGTTTCAGTTATTTGATATTATATAAAGTGTAAAAAAAACTGTGTGGAGTCCATTGCGATATAGCTGAAGGACAAAAGAAAGTGTAATTAGGGTCTATCAATTAGTTGAATCTAATCTTTGAATGGAATATTACTAGCCCGGGTTCACATATATGCGGTCGGTACATTGCATGTTATTCGCACAGAAACTGCACCATATTCCTGTACAAATCACATGCGAATTGTGTGCGGTGCGATTCGAGCCATACATTTTGTATGGCTCCAATCGCACCACACCAAAAAGGTGCAGGACCCTTTTTTTGGTTCGCACTAGAATCAGATCGCATGGATATTCACACCTCTGCGATCCGATTCTGCAAATCGCACTGCGTTTTGCAGACCGATTTCGAGGTGTTAACTTAACATACACACCCGCAGCGGTTCGTATGAACGAGGTGCGATTGTGATGCGGTGCGGAATTCGACACAGAAAACACTGTGAATTCTGCACCGCATCAGCGTGAACCCGGGCTTAAGGTATAGTTAGAAAAGTCTTTCAAGTTCAGCTGGTCTTAGTATTTCCCCACCAGATGCAAAGTTTTGGTTGCAAAGAAAATAATCAGTTAATGTCCAAAGGATGGATGTTCAGCAACATATTTTCTTTTGTGTATAGATTGTTACTGTATAAAGTAACTACTGCCCTTCTCAACCAAAAGGTTTTTATTCCCGCATGGGGGATGGATTTTTAAAAAGGAAAGTGGGCAAAGGGCTGCCAGTGGTGTTCAGGCTGATTTTGGCTTTCATTCATAAGTGGCCCTGAATAGAAATAACTGGAATATCATAGCCGTGAGCGACAGGAAGTGTTATTTCCTTTAGTTCCAACAAAGCTGGCCTATGGTCTTTTTCACTTTGCCTCTGGTTTTCCTTATGGGATTAAATCTTTTTATAAAATAGTACGAAAAACAAATGCTAAAGGAAGTGCTTACCTACCCATGAAACTCCTCTTGGCTTCCTAGGTTAACCTTAAAACATTTGTTTAGTGGTTCAGCTTCTCACTGAGTGTTCTATGGTGGCACAGCATACAAAAAATAACACTTTCCAGAGCCTTCTGTTATGCCGATTCTGTGTTACTGGATTTCCCCTTGCTTGCTTTTTGGTCTGCTAAGGTGCTTCATTAGATGGTATTGCCCACCTTAGGTGCACTCACATCCCATCAGCAAGTGACAACTTAATATAAAGACACTAAAAAGGGTGAACCTCCTGCGCTGGGGCCCTATCTCACAAGCCGCTGGGGCCCTATCTCACAAGCCGCTGGGGCCCTATCTCACAAGCCGCTGGGGCCCTATCTCACAAGCCGCTGGGGCCCTATCTCACAAGCCGCTGACACAAAACCTCCTACCAAAATGAGTGAATAACAATAAATGATATAAAGTGCAGCGCTAAACCTACAATCCCATATATAATAACGGACATATGAAAGTGCTAAAAATATGTGCAAAATATATAACTGCAATAATAAACCCAAAATATTCAAAATATAATAAATATATAAATATATACTAAAAAAATGTAAATAAATATTAAGGTGCAACAGGTGTAGGGAATACACGTGTTGCACCTTAATATTTATTTACACTTTTTTAGTATATATTTATAATATATTGAATATTTTGGGTTTATTATTGGATTGTATATTGCACAGTTATATATTTTGCACATATTTTTAGCGCTTTCATATGTCCGTTATTATATATGGGATTGTAGGTTTAGCGCTGCACTTAATATAAAGACAGACTTCAGGTTGTCAAAGCCCTACTGAATGTTCGGTTTAAATCTATTAAGTGCATTCAGAATGCAATAAAACTCAAGGTTTGCAAAGTCTTACGGATCATTTTCTTTACAAAGCAATCACAGCCGGAGTAGAAAAGCAAGCGCCTTGCCAGCCTGTTTTAGAGAAGGACCTTGCTACTTGTGTGCTAGGACTTGTAATCAGCAGTGAGCATGAGCTTTACTGGTTACAGAACTATAGGTCAGACTCCGCATGGGGTGCCGCAGTCATCTGGCAGGTTAGCCTATTCCTCCACATGAAGAGCAAGCGTACTACTTTACGGCTACAAGCTTTTCTCTTCTGGCTGTGACTGCTTTCTCTAAATCATGAGAACTGACAAAAACTTTGCACACCTTTTGGTTTTAATGCACTAGGAAGGTAATTGGTTCATTTAAAATGAAAGTTCAATTGGGATTTAATACTTTATTCCTTGAAAGAAATTTGTGAACATAGTTTTTAATGTGTTTCCTTGAAGGTGGTTACAAGAGACCTGCTCCAAGGGTTGAGTTTTCCTTTTAATGGAAGCTCCACATTGAAGGAGAGGTTTGCCAGAACCCTCAACATAGAGCACCCTATAAAAGATGAAGCTTAAAACATTCCAGCAGGCAGTGTGGTAAATCTTTTTGGGCCGAAAGAGCTCCAGCTACCTGAAACATCTGGGTATGTCAGATGTTGTATTCGATGGGTGCTGTGGATCTTCCTGCTAAAGCCCTTAGGTAACTACAAAACACAGTGGTAATGTAGGGGCTGGTGGGAGGCACCACATCACCCTAGAAAGAAAGCAATAAACATAAAGCTAACATTTAATTTAGCAAAACTTACAGCGTACCAGTTCTTAGAAGTGATGGCTGCAATAGTTTTATTTTTTTCAGGCTCTCTTTGAATGTTCACCTGGTGAAAGAATATGCTGTCCTGCAGATGTAGCAGTTAGAGGGTTGAGACAAACCATTTAACGCTGACAGGAGTGCATACAATGGTTTTCTCTGATGTATATATAAACCTTTATTTCAAAAGGGACAAAACTGTTTCTTTAACAGCTTAAAAAGTGTTAGCTGGAGTTTGGCTTCAATTTGTTTACTGTATCCTAATCTGCTAGTCCATCTAACACTACCCTTCCCCCAGACTGAAAGTGTTGCTGTCCAAAGGCACCTCTGTTGTTTCTTCATCCAGAGTGGGGGAACTCTTAATACAGGGAGTGTGTTAGTGACCAGATCACAAGGTGAAAACAGGAGAAAAAAAAGAAACTAATGCAGCCACCACACCTAATGACTGGTAAGGTGCAAATTCAGGGGCGGACTGACCATTTGGAAACTAGGGCACGGCGTCAGTAGGGGGCCCCATGAGATGCCCCTGGTACCTTTTTCATAGGCTTTTTTTGAGGTTGGGCAAGGACACAGGGGCCCCATGATCCCCTATTGCCCGGGGGCCCCATGAGTTGTCAGTCCGCCCCTGGGTGCAGTGTAATACATTTTCGGTTTTGGGTGTAATACAACTTGAAGTAGCTTCTTTTACTACGTATTGAATTTAAATTTTTCATGAATAGTGACAATGTAGTATTTCTTTTTTTAATCCAGTCCTATTATAAAAACCGCCATTTTCATCTGGATGTGCATTCATTAAAAACAGAACTTTTAATGAATACACACTACAAATATGCACATCAGTACGCAAATGGCCAGAGGAAAGTACTATGAGCATTTCAGGCACTATTGTGTTGTACAGTGCTTTAATTGTAACACTGGGAGCTTGCTTGCAGAAGAGATGACCTCAGTACACTGCCACTCATTTACTGTGTCTAATTAGCAGGCTAAGCGGGAGAAGGGGTGCAAGTTGTATTGCTCATCTCTAAATATACAAAGGTGAAGACCCTTCTCTCATTGTGGTTTGGCAGGGGTGTAATGAACCACATAGATGACTGAGCACCATTGCAGATCACCTGGAGATCACCTTTTTCTGTTCTTTTCCAAACTGCAAGGAAATGAAGCACATTTTGTTTTCTGTGGTTTTTGTTTAGGAAAATCACATTATTTTAGCTGTCATGGTCAAACATTATAACTTGGTAATAATCCCATGCTTTTTTATGTTGGTATTATTTGGTATCCTTTGAAAATTGTATTTTCTTGAGTACTGCTCATGATGTTTTTTTTCTTTATCCCCCTCCCCCAACTCATCCACTCAGGGTCATCCCCCAGTTCAAATAGCTCGTCAGTGAACACCATGGCTTCTCTTGGAGCCTTACAGACTCTGGCAGGTGCAACTGCTGGCCTAAATGTTGGTTCTTTAGCAGGTAAGTTTGTAAACTTTTACATGTTAGTCAAAACATTCTGCTATCCTGCTGTCACAGTCAGACACATAGGTTCATTTACAGTATGTTCACTTTCAAAGTGTGCAAGAAGAGATCCTGTTTTTCTTGTTTTTTGTTGTTGTTTTTTTTTGGGGGTTTTTTGAGGGGGGGATATTCTTTGCAAAGTTACTTTTTTTTGTTTTTGAACTTGTTCAACTGATTCACACTAAGGCTACGTTCACACTAGCTTTGTCAACAGGCGTCAGGGAAGTGTTTTTAACGCTTCTCAAACGCCTATGAACATTCTGCATATGGCAGCGCACAGTGCAGTTCACACTGAAGCCTTAGCGCCGCGGCAAAACTGACGCCTCGTGTCCAGTCAGGAGGAGTTGAAGCCTCTCTTTCAAGTCTATTGTGCCGCTCCTCAACGCCTGGCAGGCGTTTGTGGGGCGGTTTTGAGGCAGTTGCGGAGCGTTAATACCATTTAACTTCATTATAGGCATTTGTGGTGCGGTTTTTTAACGCTTTGCAAATGCCTCGAAATCGCTCATAGGGCATTTGGGGAGCATTAAAAACTCTTCCCAAACGCCTGTCTATCACCTGTCAAACGCTATAGGGGCGTTTGGGAAGAGTTAGAAATAAAGTCAAGTGTGAACGAGCCCTAAGATGAGTGAAAGGTAGTGCTCATGCTCTACTTTAGCAAATGAGGATCTTTGAGTTTTGGAAGCATGCCAGGATTACAAGTAAGAGAGCCCAGCACTCCAAGCATGCCTGTTAGTAGGTAGTAACACTGTCCTTTCCTGTATAGAAAGGAGGGCTTCCCTCCTCTGAGCGCTTCCACTGCTTGCGGAAACTGGTCAATCTTGCTGTCTCATAGCAAAGCTATTCTTAGGATCAAAAACTGTATCCTTGTTAATGCCTGCCACTTGCTGGCTGTAACTGGCAAATATGACACATTCTAATGGCATATTCATGTTTGTTTTAGTACTGTACATAATACATATAGACAATATATGAAGTGCTGGGAAATGTTACTATGCACAACAGGCTTCCTTGAGGAATTGGACATTTTATTTATAGCTGAACTACAGGCAAACAACTCAATATACAGATAAAATAACTTATTCTCGGCCTACCTTACCTGCCTATAGATTTGTATTTCTGTCCACACATTCCTGAGATTTATATAACTGCCACACAGCACAACCCTGTCTAGCAGGGCAGGAGATCTGATCTTCTCTACTGTGCTCAAGAAATACAGGTCTTGTCCCTCCCCCATTGAACAGTGAAGGAGAAGCAGATAGTATCTGTCACCCTGCTCGCTCCTATCAGCATGTTCCTTGTTTACTGCGGCACAACTGAGTTGTCCCCCTGTGGCGCTTCCCCCTTTCCTTTCTAAGCTCTACTGTACAGGGACTGCAAGAAGCTGATACCAGGTCAAGTTCAGGTACTTACACTCCTTATATTTTAAAAATGAATTAGTGATGTATTAACCACTTGCCATCCTGATGATTTACCCCCCTTAATGATCAGGACTTTTTTTTTTGCTATTCGGCGCTGCACCATTTCAACTGGTAATTGAGTGGTCATGCAATGCTGTACCCAAACAAAGTTTACATACTTTTTTCACACAAACAGAGCTTTCTTTCGGTGGTATCTGATCACCTGTGCACTTTTTCTTTTTTTGCGCTATAAACAACAAAAGTCCGAAAATTTGGAAAAAAAACTATTTTTTACTTTCGGCTATAGTAAACTCAAAGTTGGTCATAAATTTAGGCCAAAATGTATTCTGCTACATGTTTTTGGTACAAAAAAATCCCAATAAGTGTATATTGATTGCTTTGTGTGAAAGTTATAGCATCTACAAACTATGGGATAGATACTGCAGTTTACGACATTTTTTGCTATACAGCGCTGCACTAGTTTAACTTACAATTGCGCAATGCAATACTATACATAAATTAAATTTGTCCTTTCTTTCACACAAATAGAGCCTTCTTTCAGTGGTATTTGATCACCTGTGCACCCTCCCCGCACCCCACTGCCCGCAGAAGCGCGAATCACGTATAGGGGCCGCTCTGCAGCAGTAAATGTACTGTGGGCGGTCCTTATGCAGTTAATGAATAGAGAGCTGCATTCATTTGTGTCATTTGTATAATTGTCATTTACCTAAGCTTTTGTTATTTGTAATATATCCTTTTTTCCTCTAGGGATGGCAGCATTAAATGGTGGACTCGGAGGCAGTGGTCTCTCCAATGGCACTGGTAGCACTATGGAAGCTCTAAGTCAAGCCTACTCTGGAATCCAGCAATACGCAGCAGCGGCATTGCCTTCACTCTACAATCAGAGCCTATTGACACAGCAAGGCTTGAGTGCTGCAGGTAGTCAGAAGGAAGGTGCGTTTGTAGCATTGTTCTGCTTGAACTTTTTGGACAGTCTGAAATGGACTTGAAAGCCTTTGAATATATGAGCTTATATTGGGAAACGATTTGTCAAACGTGGCAGTTCACTTGGAGAGTTGCACAACCTCTTCACTGTCAAATAGGCTGGTCTCGGAATGCATTGTTTTTTGATGCAGGTTTTCCTATTCAGATTGTCTTAAAAGAAAAAAAAGCAAAAAAATGGGTATATTTGGGCACCGCAATTTCCAGACAATTTTTTTTGGCAGCACCGTTTTGGCAAGGTACGAAAAGAGCCGACGTGTTAAACAGGTCCACATTGAATTCTCTCAAAGAATCAAAGCGTTCTCTGTTTGAACAGAGTGGAGATCAATGGCACGTCTACCCAATATGCACATTTCTTGTTTCCACATAAATGTCCTGTTGATGAAGAAGAATATGCATGACAGTCTTGGAGCTTTTACTTCCCAAACAAGTAAGGAAGGGGCAGTGCCAAACAGGACGTTAGAGCAGTGTTTCTCAACCTTTTTTCAGTCAAGGCACGCTTTAAAATTATGGACAGTCCTGAGGCACCCTTTAAAATTATGGACAGTCTTGAGGCACCCTATTCTAAAATGGGGTGGCTCAAGACTGTCCATGATTTTAAAAGGGCACCCCATTCGAAAATGTGAAAAACTATTCTAATAGTTTTATATAACGCAGCAACATCCACACATGTAGGACACCCAACATTAGAGGTGATTTATTCTTCCAAAGCAAATATACTTTTGCACACTGGTACTGACCTAGTATTCCAGTGTTTCTCTTCTCCCTCAGTTTTTCTCCATCACTGTTGCTAATGTGACCCCAGCACTGATGGAGAGGGGCAGGGGAGGGTCAAACTAGGATGCTGTGCAGGCGCCTGACATCCTCCTTATAAACTGATGTCATTGGTTGTCAGGATGCTGACGGCTAGAAGGGCGTAATGGTGCACAATGAAAACCTGTGACTTTGTGTAACTAAAAGGCAGGATTGTTCCACCCGCTGGCTTGTATACAAGTTTTGGGCAATTTTTAAGACATTTTGCCAAGGCACCCCTGAGGAAACCTCAAGGTATCCCAGGGTGCCTGGGCACCCTGGTTGAGAAAGGCTGCTTTAGAGAAACGCAATATCTACTGTACGAAGGTTAGGAAATATTTATGTTGATCAATATAACAGCAGGTACCCTTTAAGCTTGCCCCACCTTATCATTGACTAGCTCTTTTGTTTTTGGATTTTTGATAAACTGTATTTTACTTTTTACTCTTTATTTAGGTCCAGAGGGTGCAAACCTATTCATATACCATCTGCCCCAAGAGTTTGGTGACCAAGACATCCTGCAGATGTTCATGCCATTTGGAAATGTCGTGTCCGCCAAAGTTTTTATTGATAAACAAACTAACCTTAGCAAATGTTTCGGTAAGTTTTCAGCAGTCATGGAGTGCTAGAACCATTCGCCTTTCATTGTAGCCCTTTTTTCACGTTAAAAGCTCTGCAACCTTGTAGTGCATCTATAGCCAAAAGTTGACATTTTAGATTAAGTAAGGGACAGGTAAGAACCCCTGTCAGGTTTTTCATGCTGCCATCCCCACTGGACAAGTGGGGGGCGGTGACCCTTTCTATTACTCATTACAGCCATTGTAACCAGGGCTAAACATGATATATTCAAAATTATTATATTTTTGCCTCTACAGCAGGTGATAGGAAGCCTTCCAGTACAGACATCTGTCCCAGTAACAGAATTGCTTAGGATGCCATTTTGTAGAGCTTTCCGTTCACTCCCTCTTCTGTCTCCGGAACTGAAATTGAGGGAAAATCTCCCACAAGGACAAATGCTTCTATCGGTTTTACCCCTTCCCTGCTGTACCCAAAACTACATGAACTTACAGGTGGTTATACCGGGATAATGCCTGCAGCTGTAGGCACCGACCTGGTATTGTTTTCTAGAGCCAGCAGTTGACTTTCTTTTAAAAGCAATCCTAGCAGCTTATTAGGATTTTACAATCCTAATTAGATTGTTAAAAAAATAAAAAGTGCCCCCATCCTCCTGTGCTTGCGCACAAAGGCGAATGCACGCAACGGTCCTGCACTCATGCAAACAACGATTATCCCACACGTGAGGCATCACGACGAATATCAGACGAGGGTAGTATTTCTATTACCAAACCATAACTGAACTGAATGGCGTAGATCCTGGGTGTGTTTTGGAATTCGACTTGCATTTCATATAGGAAAACAAGCATTCCCAGATTACCAATAAAAGGAAGTGGAACAAACTGGTGTGCTACAACAATGGAACAGAACTACTGAATTTGCAGTATGTGTTCTTTGCATGCAGAGTAGGGTTTATTATTCAGTTTTAAGTACTTGCCCTCCAGAGGATTTACCCCCCTTCCTGACCATGCCATTTTTTGTGACACAGCGCTGCATTACTTTAACTGGCAATTGCATGGTTATGCAACGCTGCACCCAAATTAAATTTACGTCTTTTTTTTTTTTTCTTCCCACAAACAGTGCTTTCTTGGTATTTGATCGCCTCTGCGTTTATTTTTTGCTCTATGAACAAAGACTGACAATTTTGAAAAAAAAACTATATTTTTGACTTTTGTCCAGAAAAAAATTTAAAAAATCAAATTTCGTCATAAATTTAGGCCAAAATGTATTCTGCTACTTGTCTTTGCTGAAAAAAAAAATTCCAATATGTGTAAATGAATTGGTTTACATAAATGTTATAGCGTTTACAAATGGCGGTATATATACTGGATTTTTTCTTTTTTTTTACTAGTAATGTTGGCGATCAGCGTTTTTATAGCATTCTGACACTGGGGGGAACTGACTTGGTGATACCGACATCCCCAGTGACACCAATATAGTGATCAATTCTAATAAAAAGCACTGACACTGTACTAATGGCACTGGGCAGGAAGGGGTTAACATCTGGGGCAATCAAAGGGTTAACTGTACTTGTGTGCTGTTTTGCTGTGTGTGCGCTGTACACGGTAAGCACACTACTTTGTATGGCTCTGCTATGCAGAGCCATACAAAGCAGAGTGCAGGAGCTGACGGTAAAGATCTGTGTTGTTTATACACAGGTCTCTCCCCCGTCAGTGATACTCGGCGATTGACAGCTGAGGCTTTGAATGGCAGTGTGGCACACGCGCCCCCTACCCAGAACTGCAAAATCGTGTGTGTGTGTATATATATATATGTGTGTGTGTGTGTATATATATGTATATAAATGTGTGTGTGTATGGTTTTGTGCAGCTGTGCCACCCTGGGGGGCAGTATTTCTGCTATAGGGTGGCGTGGCAGCGGTTAACTGGAGTGCACCTTTAAAACCTATGTTCTTTACTTTATTTACTATGCATGCACATTTATACTGCTCATATAGGAGTACACACAACTGCTGGAACGCAAGTGAAGGTTTTGCCTATGGCAACCAAGCAGGCTTTCATCTTTCAAGGAAAATGAATATTTTTGCTGGGTGTAGGTGAATAGTCTAGTTATGTTTTAGTACATAAACAGTGCATACTATTAGGCAAAACAAAGTAACATAGGCTATTATCTGTGACTGTTCTAAACTGAAGAAAAGATTGAATTTAAAGGCTATGTTCTGCTGCGCTTTACGCGTTGCGTTTTAGTCTTTGCACTGGCTTATTTATTCAGCCTAAAAGTTGCCATTTTGGCGTATTTACCTTTTAGAATAACCAAAGTGATTTTTGTTGCAGGTTTTGTGAGTTATGACAATCCAGTTTCCGCTCAGGCTGCTATCCAGTCCATGAATGGCTTTCAGATTGGAATGAAACGTCTGAAGGTCCAGCTTAAACGCTCCAAGAACGACAGCAAACCATACTGAACTGTACTGCCCTGGGAAGTGAGCGAGAAGGATGTTCTGGTAAGTGTGGGATGGAAAGGCCAAACCAGGATTTATGGCTGGAGGAGAGCACTTAGTGAGAACATATACAGACTCTGCTGTGTCTCTCAGCAGCCCCGAAGCATCTCCATGTACTAAAAGCCAGAAGCCTCTTTCCCTCCTAAAAGACTCTGGGTACAACGTTTTTGTTGTGTGTTTTTTTTTTTTTTTAATTTTGCTTCACATGGAAGAACGGCTCGTACTACTTGTTTCAATTGTTTTGGAGTTTAGGTGCCATATCAGTGATTTTTTTTTTTTTTATAATATTGTTTGGACTTTTGCTGTGTTTGTACAGATGTATGACAAGTACCAGCACCAGAAGCCTTGAAAAAGGAGAGAAGAGCTCCTGTTTTTTTTTTTCTGGCATTATATAGCCTGTCTGCTCAATGCTCCACTTGCCATTCTGCTGCATTTCAACTGCATGTACACTCTGACCCTGAGCTGTTGAGGGTCACTCACTTATGTAAATCTCCCCTCCCCAGGTCTGTCTTGTGGTACAAAAATACTCCTTTTGCTGGAGTTTTTCTATATCATCCTGCTTATTTTCTTTTTAGTTTTGGCTGTTCATAAATTTGTACATAAAGCACAATTAAGGTTGCCCCTTTTAGCTGTTTAAAATACACATGATGTTCAGTAGCCTTTAGTGACTGAATCAGATTTTTGCTTTCAGAAATTGTCTGACCACTGAAGAGAGGTTGGTTGCTATACTTTGCAGCATTAAACACCTTCAAAGCCACATCCTTTTCTGTCCTCGGCCTGTCCACATGCTGAGAATTTGACATCACTGAGTCTCTGTCTTTATGGATTGATCGAACATACCTTTGTTCCTATTAATAGCAACCTGATCGAGGTTTAGAGCCTGTGTCAACAGGCTTTTGTTACATCAGTTGAGATTTTGCATTTTTATACACATTTACAGGAATGCAAAAGTGCACATTTCAATGAATTCTGAACTATCTCAAAAGTGTCTCAAACAATACCACGCCATAACACAATCCCAAAGCCACTCAACACGGGGCCTTAGGATGGTTAAAGGCTTACTAAATCCATGTGTCATTTTGGTTTACAAAAAAAATAAAAGAGCTATGGCTCATGTTCAGTAAAATGCATGTAAAGATTTTATTAGTGGATCAGAGAAATCATCTTGATAAAGGAGCTTGGATTTTTCATGTCTTACATCTCAAATTACGATTGGCCCCTTCTCAGCTTAAAATTTCTGGGATTAGGTGATCACAGAGAGCACTCAGCTACTCAATAAATTGAAATAGCAATATTGTATTTGTAGAAGTTTTGGATTGGTTACCACCTTCCACCAGCATTTTTTTTTCCTTAACTGAACTACATGGTGGATAGTGGTAAGCCTTTAGCTACAAGTCCCGTCTGGTTTGGTATGGAAAATGGTCATGTGTCAGTGTGTCAAGAATCCACAGTATGGGATAGGCTGAAAATAAGTGATTACATTCATATTTACCTGCTGGCACTTCAGACTGTCAAAGTAACTTAAACTTATCTTTTTTCTGTACATGCTTTAAATAGCAATTCTGGCAGCCATAAGCACAATATATATACTTTTTTAAAACTTTCTAGAACAATCAATCTGGTCTCTCACCAGACTTAAAAATGTTTACTGGTAACTTTACCACTCTACATGGCAAGTGGGCATGGCATTGACATATAAAATGGGGGTCTCTCAAGAGTTCGCGGACTGGTGTCTGGTGTTGCGTAGTAGAATAGAGTATTTCATGTGCTTGTGTGTGTATGTACTCTTTTGTGCATACCTACATACATGTATCGTGACATACGTGCTGAAGAACTGCTAAAACTTGAATATTGTATACTCAGAGAAAAAAAGTGTTTTCAAAGTTTTGGATTTGGTATAATGTGAAACGTATTGAGGCTTCCAGGCTCCTGATATGATCTTTTATACAAGTGTATAAAAAAAAAATAATCAAACTGAAAAAAAGATGATTGAAGGAAAACAAGCCTGTTAGAATGACATTTCTATATTTTTATAGAGGTTTTATACAGCTCGGATGAGTGAGCAATATTTATTGCCTAAATTATTTCACTGGAAAGAGATTTTGTAGAATTTGGAAAGACGGTTATTTTATTTTATGTTTTATACAAAGTAACTCTGCATCATGTTTATAAGGCATCTTACAGTGTGTGGGGATGGACAAATAATCCTGCCCAGCAGAAGAGTCTGGGTTATAAATGTGAAAAGACGTCTCCTCCTGACTTGTCAGAATTGAAATTCTTCACATCTCAGCTTACAATTTGCCTGCAGGCTACTGAACTCTGCTTTTCAGAACTTCTGCCTATATAACAGATTTTTTTAAAGGGTTAGAAGAAGTGATCGGGAATCGTAATGAGGTCCACGCCCATCCCTTGCTTGGGGAGTTCAGCAACTGTGATGTCCAGTTCAGTGCATACTAATGATACTGCCTGCTTGTGAGGCGTGAGCAGATTGCTTGTTACATAGATGTGAAACAGGCATACCCATTACTACATTCTGTACTGTAAGGGCCTGATCACACCATCACAGTGCTTGACTGGTCCTATTGATGGCTGCAGCTTCACCTCATTTAATCATTTCTGCTGGTGGTGTTTTGTAGCTGTCACACCTGGAAATACTCATTTCCAATCCAAAGTGGAAGAACTTGTTCCCACAGAATAGTTTTAAATGCTGGTCTTCAAAAGGAGGAAGCATTCCTATGTTCTTGAAGTAATCAGAAGATCTGCTTGCAGTTTTAATGAACATTTCAGTTAAACATAGGCATTTTATCCTCTGTGATGTAGTTAATAATGGTATATGCAGCATGCTCTGTGCTGGCAAGGCCTCATTCAGATGAGTGCTGCTGTCTGTTGCTTATGAATGAATGCCTTGTTTTTGTGGCTTCAACCACCAAGTGCTGCATGCAGGCAGCCCATTTATGTCTATGGGGATGCGGTGGCTGCACGGATACGCAGATTTCTGCCTTTAGGGCCATTCATCTGCACCTGCATGGCCATCAGATGCATCCCAATAGGCATGAATGGGCTACCTGGCATCTGAAGTCCCATAAATAAGGCTCTCATTCACAGGCTGTGGGTGTCGGCGCCCATCTGAAGGAGGCCAAATGTTTACCAATATGTTTTACATATGTGCTGCTTTGAGGTATTTAACAGAAATTGCTTTCTTGGATGTGTCCCAGTTTAAATGTCCTGATGTGTACACCTTTTAAGAAAGACAGATCTGGCAATTTTAAACCCTTCCAGCTGAATATCATCCATGTGTTGGTGACCCAGTCATTGTAAACAGTGGCAGTAAAATTACCAGGTGGTTTATTCAACATTCACATTCCTTTAGCTTGTTGTCTAGATGTCCTTGTAATCGTCTTAGCAATTTTGGGTAATGGCTAAATTAGAGCCATAATAATGATTTTTAGAGTTAGAAAATAAAGAATAAAGTAGGGTGGTATGGAGTTTTTCAATAAGTGTTGTCAGTTAGTGTTTGAATATTGCACTTTTTCGGGTTCTCACCAACTTTATCCATTTGTACAACCAAGAGAAGTCTAGTATCTGAATTTTACCATTTTGCAATACTGATCTCCATTGGTGTTGCGGTAGCTGGGAAAATTGGAATTCCCTTACACCTATGAAACTACAAGAATGCAAGTAAACAGGTTTTAGATCTTCTTGCAACAAACTAGTGACACTTAACTTTGAGATTTAGTAGGGTTTGTTCTTTTTTTTTTTTGCTCCATTCAGCACTAAACTATGATGTGGGAAGCTAGATTAACGATGGTAGCCTGTTATGTAGAGGAAGTCTGAAGAGCAGAGTCAAATGGTCTTTCAAGTAATTTGCAAATTTCTCTTGCTTCCTGGTAAGTTGTCTTTTAAAGTGTTCAGTCTATTGCTTGGCAAGCTTCCACTAAAGAGCTTTTGCTCTCTTGCTGTGTGATTGAGTGTCTTAGTTACCTCTCACTTGTCTGTTGCCTTTCTTCCAAGTCAGCCATTCATAAAATGGTAACGTATAGCACAGTTCTGTCTATTGTGCCGTGGAAATGCTTGTTCAGGAATATCCTGCACCTTTTTCCAGAAACAGCTTGACTGGAAGCAAAAGAAACCTGCAGGTGGAGCAACAAAACGATATCTGACTGTTTCAAAAGTTGCAACATAACATTTGCTTTTTGCCACACATTAGTGAATACGCTTTCAAAATGGGAATTTCTGTCCTTGACTTAGTCAATGAAGAACTTTGCGGGACCTCCTGCAAAGAGGTGTTCTATAAAAAAGGGGTTACAATTTAAAGTCATCTCAGTTAGCTTTCAAAAAGTGTTTGTGCCATTCATAGTCTAGATGTCACCATTGTTTCGGAGGTGCTAGTAAATGTGATCATATAAAACCCAGTGTTTACATGGAGTGGTTTGGGTTTTCGTCGGTCTTCCCACCGCCGCTCCTGTCCCGTTTTGTGTCCGTGTGGGTTGCTGGGCTAACTACTTCTGTTGGGATCCTTTTTGCATGGTGATTCTAGTCTCTAATTTATGTCTGTCGGGTGTTGTGTCCCTCCCAGATCCTATCACAGTCGTGTGTACATGCGTGTCACATCATGTTTCCCTTCAAGATACCGAGATCCACCAAGCTAGTAACCTTGGTCCTCGGTGTCTCTGCATGTCTGTATTGAGCTAGGCCATTGTGTCTAGCTGTGTCTTTTTTTTTTTTTTTTTTCTCTGTGATTTGATGTATTGCGTTGTGTAACTCAGTGCTTCTCCCTGTTTCTCTGGTTGTGTTTTTGTTTTCTAGATCCCTTCCTGCCATTTGTCCATCATTGTGCCTCTAAAGCATGTCGGTGTGGCGTTCAAGTACATCGTCCAAATCCTTGTTTCTTCAGCTTCTTTGATGCTTGAACTCTCACCTCTGAACTTGTGTTGACTTTTTTTTTTTGTTTGATGCTAATGTGT